TATTAGAACCTCCTCTTCCATGGAAGAACTAATTCCCATCAGCAAGACAGGTAAATAAAAACCTCTGTCAAAGGTGAGCAGTGCTCATTCCTGGAACTACTGGTTCCTCAGCAGGTCCCACCCTACCATCTAGGAAGAAGCATCTATTGTATTCTGTGGTGTGTGTGTGTGTGTGTGTGTGTGTGTGTCGTGTGTGTGTGTGTGTGTACATGTACATATATACCTTGGAACACATGGGGGAGATCAGAGAATAATTTTACAGGCGTGAGTTTACTCCTTTTATTACGTGGGTCCCGGGGATGGAACTCGGGTCCCCAGGCTTGGCAGCAAAGGCCCTTACCCACTGAGTCATCTCTCTGAGCTTGCATTTGCATTTAGACCTTCCAGAAACAAAACACCTATCAGAGAGGGTCTTAGACTCTGTAGGAGATGGTGGTTTCTCCCATTTTTAGGAACGGGTATAGGCCCTGTGCACGTTAAACAGACGTTCAAAACACTGAATTGCAACCTCAGCTCTGAGACAGACTTTTCCATGATGCAAGTTTTTAATAATATTTCTCTTTAAATTTTTATCATTATTTTGTGTGGATGTGTATGATGTGCATGTCTGGTTACCTCTGTCATGACGTGCATGTACCACCACCCCTGCATGTGTGGAGGCCAGAGGTTATAATCAGTTCTCTCTTTCCTCCTGTGTGTGGATTCTAGCATTCAAACTCAGGTCTGTAGGTTTGTGGGGACAAATGCCTTTATCCACTGAGCCATCTCGGCAGCCTTACCATTTACTAAGGAAAAGGGGAAACAAAACCCCCTCTGCCCATAAACAGGAAATAAAAGTGAGGTTGCATTTTCCTCATGATATGTAGGATGTGGTCGCTCCACGTCCTGGGCACGCCTTTCCAGGCACCAGAAGGCTTGTAGCACGGGGCTTTCTCTAATGAGCTAGCACCGCGGGGATTTGGTGGCCAAGCGTGAGACACAGGCTGGTGTGAATCTGTCAGGGAAGTCTTATTTCACTTTGGGGAAAGAAGAAGGAAGGTGTGAAGAGAGGAATGAAAAACCAGGGAAGCAAGGAAGACACGAATCCAGGGCAGGCTACTCTCCAAAGCCAGGGTTAGAGAGGCGCTCCTGGGATGGAGGAGAGTGTGGCGAAGAGGAGGGGGTAAGGGACCAACATCATCTGCTGTCCTTTCTGTCTCCAAAATCTCCAGAGAAGAGCTAGAAGTTGCTCGTTTTCCTCTGAAGCCTGTGTTTATTCTGCATCTTTCCCAAGGGACCTAAGAACTCCTCTTTAAGAACAATCAGCACACTACCCACTTGATCACACCTTGGGCGCCCATTTCATCTGGTAATTGACAGAAAACTAACAAGACAAACTAATGTGCTATAGGTATTGTTCTCCATGATTCAAGACGAGCAAATGCTTTGACACAATTCTGTTCGGTTTCTCAGCACCGAAAGTCTGTACATACGGGTACTCCTCTGCCAGGGGTTCCAACCTTATGCACATTTCTGTGGCAGTGAATTCAAAGGGACAAGATAGTTATTTAAGAAGGCGATAGATACTGTTTCCCTTGGTCAAATATAAGATTTTTTTTTCCTTTCTAACAAGCAAAATGGTTGCCATAACCAGAAAGGGCCTTCATGTCTTTGTTAAAACTGTCCTGTGAGCCAGAGTTTTTGCTGGTTGTCATAGATCCCTGAGCAAGGCCACACAGAGTTAACTGTAGGTTGCTGTTATGGTCTGGCATCCTCCTAATCTGACCCTGGAACTGGGCAGCTGACTAAGCAGTATTGCTCACTGATCCCTCCTCCCCCTGCTAAAACAAACAGAGGCAAGCGTGTACATCCAAAGAAAACTGTTTTTCCTCAGAAAACTGTGGGACAGCAGCCAGGAGAACACAAAGCTATACCACAAGATGAGAAGACAGGACAGACCCTGTCCAGAAGAGGGTGGGGTGGAAGTCCTCTTAAAATCGTGATCTTCGCTGACACAGAAAATGCTAAGAACAGAGTAAGAAAAAATAAATCAAAATCAAAAGCTTCCTCCTCCCCTCAGCCAGATCACAGAAAAGGAGTCAGGACTTGCTTCGTGGATGGGGATTTTAAAGCCTGGTACAGGAGGAGCCATGGGCGTGCCTTGCCTATAGTCTGAAAGAAAATTCCTCAAAATCACAGGAAAACGGTCCTTTGAATACCAGCTGGGTGTGGGAGTGTATGATCTCAGGACCTGGGAGGCCGAGGCAGCTGAGACCCTCTCCCTAAACCAAACAGTACAAAACAAAAAGAAGGAAGGAGAGAAAGTCTACTTCATGTGTTTGAAGGCTTGATTTTAACAATCAGCAAATGTTAACAAAAAAAAATGTGGTGTGCTCTATTGTTGTTGTCTTTATTGGGGGGGGGGTTGGGGTGTGTATATGTGTGTGTGTTGGTGGGTGTATGTGTTGGTGTGCGTGTATGTTGGGGTGTGTGTGTGTTGGAGTGTGTGTGTGTATGTGTGTGTTTTGGTGTGTGTGTGTGTTGGAGTGTGTTGGGTGTGTGTGTTGGGGTTTGTATGTGTGTTTCGATGTGTGTTGGGGTGTTTGTGTGTGTGTGTGTGTGTGTATTATACGAAGATGGGTGCATATGTGGGCACCAGAGCAGGATGCAGGTGTCGTCCATTGTCTTGGGACCGGGCCTGTCACAGAACTGGAAGTTTGCTGTTCGGGATTGGCTGGCTGGTCGGGAGATCTTCTCCCAAAGCTGAGGTTCCAGGCTTATGCAGCTCTCCAGATTTTCATATGGGTGCTGGGATTTAAATTCAGTTCCTCATGCTTGCAGAGAAAATGCTCTTACCCACTGAGTTCCCTCCCTAAATGTTTTTTTAATCCTTCATCTTCCATGCACAGTGAGGATTATTTTACCTATTTTAATTAAAGAGCCTTATCGTTAATATTTGCTTTGATTTTTTTCATTGCTAGAAAATTTTGTAAATAATATCCCATGTTTTATCTTTGCTAGGTACTGGTCTTTTGCAGCATGAACATTAAAGACAAAAGTTTAAAACAAATGCTTTGGTTCTTAATTACATGTAACCAATAGGCAATATCTGAACTACACAGATACACAACACCCCAAGCTGCCAGTACAGGCAGGCCCCGACTTACTCTGGTGTGAAAATCATACTCATTCAGCAGAAACCATACTTTAATGTTTGAGTTCTGAGGTTTGCCCTGGGCTAGTTATTTGCGCTCTCAAATATTCTCCAGAGATGCCAAATGGCAGCAGCAAGCAGTCGCCATCCAGTTGAAGGAGAAAAAAATCCATCCAACACAGTGCACTGTGGCTCAGCTTCCACATTTGATGGATCATGTTTATTAAACTCATTTTCTACTTACAATGTTTTCCGACTCACACTGCCTTTATCTGGCCATAACTACCTCTTCACTCAAGGAGCACCACTATGTCTGTGGAATAAATAACGTTCTGCTTTCATTCGAATCTTTTGAATAAATAAATGATGCGATCTTTCCCTCTGCAAAGGGGTGGTGACCCCACCTCTCATACAGACTCATTTCATCTTGGAAGAAAAACATAAGCACAAAGACGTAACTGTCAACTGTGAGCCTGCTCGCTCTCCCTCTCTAAGCTCCCTCTCTAAGCTTTGATAGTTCCTATGTGTTCACACGTTGGAAACTTGACCTCAACATGGAGGTACCTGGAAGTGAGCCCTGAGAGCTCCACTCACGCATAGATTCCTGCACTATCATGAAGAAGTGAGTCTATTATGTCAAAAGTGGGTACTTTAAAAACAAAACAAATTGAGTCCTCTCTCTCTCTCTCTCTCTCTCTCTCTCTCTCTCTCTCTCTCTCTCTCTCTCTCTGCCTCTCCCTCCTTCTCTGGCTCACCCTCCTTTTTTTCTCTCCCTCTCTCCCCTTCTCCCTCCTCCCACAATACTACGATGAAGCAAGATGGTTCTAAGCAAATAAGGGCCTCCCCAGATGGGGCATTTGATCTTCAATTCCCCAGATTCCAGAACTCAGAAAAATTAATTTATTTTGTTCTAAATTCCCAGTCTTGTAGTATTTCATTTACAGCAGCTCAAAATAAAGGCAAGACCTTCGTGAACACGGCAGCTACCATTCACCGAATATCTACCGTACGCCAGGCACACTGCAAGCACGTTATGCTGCTTTGGAACATCACTATTGCTTAAAAGCAAACAAGCAAAAAAATCATTCTAGAAAGTTCTAGCACCAGATACTAATAGCCTTTACTGCTAAAGTCAGCGCTACAACACTTCAAATCATGAACTGTTGGGTAGTTTCTTGAGGCATCTCACCCTATTCAATTTCAAAACAAGCCAAGTTAATTGTAGCAGGAATCTTAAAAGTTCTTAGTAATAAGATCAAACCTGAGACCTGTCATTATTGGGGTGATGCTGAAAGATCAGAGAAGCAGAACAAGCCACAACTAACCTCACCTCACCAATTCCTCAGCTGGTCTTATTTCCTCAGACTGGAAGCCTCTGAGTCCTCATCCAGAATGAATCTCCGCTGAACTGTGTGGCTCAAAGCCTAAAGCTTAACCAGCCAAAAGCTTCTAGCTTCTGGTCCTCACGCCTTATATACCTTTCTGCTTTGTGCCATCACTCCCTGGGATTAAAGGCTCACTTCTTGGGATTAAAGGCGTGAGTCACCATGCCTGGCTGTTTCCAATGTGGCCTTGAACTCACAGAGATCCAGAGGGATTTCTGTCTCTGGAATGCTAGGATTAAAGGCGTGTGTGCCACCATTTTCTAGCCTCTGTATCTAGTGGCTGTTCTGTTCTTTGACCCCAGATAAGTTTATTAGGGTGCACAATATTTTGGGGAACACAATACCACCACAGTTAATGTTTTCAAAGCATAGGTTGGCTTTTAACTATCCTGCTTTACAACATGTGGTAGGCTCTCAACGTTTTTCTATGAATGACAGTGAAAAATGAAAAAACCCAACATTTACCCAGGAAAGCTGAGTCCATGGTGACTTTTAGACAGAAACCAGGAAGAGTCAGTGTTCCAGCTTTGTTGATGTTGCTGTGATAAAAACACCCGGACAGAAAGAAATCAGTGGAGAGATGGTTTAACTCTCGACTCAGGGGTATAGTCCATCAGAAAGCTGGGGCAGAACTTGAGCAGCTAGTCACTTCGCACTGAGAGGAAAGAACGGAAAGAAATGAATGCATACATGCTTAGCGCTCAGCGGACTCTCCCTCCTCACAGAGCCCAGGTCCTAAAACCACCGGCAGCCTGTATCTTGCCACATCAGCTAAACAATGAAGTTCCCCACAGACATGCCCACAGGCCAACCTCAGTCTCTCTTCCCACATGATTCGACTAGCTGGTGTCAAGGTGACAACTAAAACCAGGCACTGCAGGTGATGTTCATGAAAATGATGATATTTAGGAAAATTGATTCTGATTTTTACGTTGACTGTTGAACAATAGATACTTGTAGTAGGGCCTTCACTATAGGGTCATTCAAAGTAGCATTATATACCTGCTTTGAATTCTTTTCAGTACAGACTTGGATGTGGATATGCTAGATTATATGGTTATTATACTTTTTTTTTTTTTAAAGTAAATGATGCACTGTTTTCCACAGCAACTGAATGACCATATCTCCCTGCAGGAACCAGGGAGATTCCACCTCACCAATAATAGTACACAGGCTTTGCATTTCATTTTTATCAACAGTTGCTGTTCTCTAGGGTTTATAATAGCCATCTTAAAGGGATGTGACTTGGTATCAATAGTTCTGTCTTGTGTTTCCCTAGTGATTGGTGATGGTAAACATTTTGTGTGTGCTTCTTGGCCATTCTATGTCTGATCAAGCCTTTGCTTACTTTTGAACTGGATGATTTCATTTGTTGTTTTACTTATTTTTTTCATTTTGTTTTGAGACAGAGTCTCTCATGTAGCCCAGGCTAGTCTCAAAATTCTCTCACCCCCTCCCCCCACACCTCAGCTTTCTATGCGGCAGGTTATAGACATGTGTCAGCATCCTTTGCAGGGGGTTCTCTTTGTTTGCTGGTTTGTTCTCACCCTATTGTTGAATTTTAGGTATTTTAGGTATTTTCTACTCATTTTTCTGTCTTATTCTTTTATCAGACATGCAAATATAGACTCCCCTCTCATTTCGTGTCTGTGCCTCCTTACTCTTTAATGAACACATTACCTTCCATTATGTGGTGATCTTAGGATCCTGCTTAAATGGATTCAGACACTGGGGATGTCACTCAATGGCTGAGTGTGTCCCAATCTTACTCGGTGCCTTGAGTTCCATCTCCAACACCCCATCTTTCAATGCTATTCCATTCCATTTGTCTATATTTCTGCCTTTAAACTAGTATAATACTATTTCCTGTAGGTAGTGAGTTTCAAAATAAGAAAGGGGAAAAAGGGAAAAAGCATTTTATTCAATTTTTTGAGAAAGTTGTGTGTTACCCATATATTAAATGTTTTTTGACACAGAAGCACCTGACTTATATGCTAACTATATTAACTTGGGTAAACGCCTGGATAACAACATTAGGAATTCATGGACACCAGTCTAGCTTTATGAACCTTGTGCATCTGTCTTCTTTTATTTCTATAACACATTATTAAAATTTCTCTAATATGGCTTTTAAATGAGAGCGTACAGCCATTTCATTTTTTGCCGTTGTGATTAAATGATTTATTTGCTCAGCCCTTATTTAATATATGAAAAAGACCGTACATTCTAAGAGGAAAAAAAGAGCACTAACCCTTGTTTTCAATTTCCTCACATTTCAGGAATCAGATAATCACGGTGCAATGCGTTGTCCTATAATTATGGATATAACCATGTACAAATGCTTTAGGAATGCCTTTGCTGTGTCAAAAGGAAAGGAAGGCCTTAGGAATACAAAGGCAGGCATGGAGAAAAATATTGGTGAAATTATTAAGGCCACTCCACGTAGTTAAAAGGAGATTTATTTAATGGCGTAACTTACAAGTTAAGGGATAGGTAGGTCGCGGGGTCTGGGGAAGGTGTATCGCAGTCCAACGGTGTTCTCTGGAGCTCTGCTTGGCCCACCTTCACCGTCCAAGGTCCCGGAACCGAGTAAGGGCACCGCCCATCCAGATCTCAGGTCTCTAGGCGCCTCCCTTGGCCCCGCCTTGTAGGCGTGACAGTTGCCAAAGTCTCAATGGGGGTTGGAACTTCCAGATCAAAGCTGGAATGGCTACCCACTACAGAAAAACATGAACAGATCTTGCTAAGTCCCTCCCATTTTGCTACCATCACAGCATACACCCTCATCCAACTATATTCACCCCTCAGACTTAGCACAAAACCACACAGATTCCCTGGTTCTATGCCTCATGTTTACACAGACTATTTTGTCACTTAAAAGTTATATTGATAAAATTGCATGTTTTTTTAATGTGTGTGTGTGTGTGTGTGTGTGTGTGTGTGTGTGTGTGTATACCTACATGTACATATGTATACCATATATGTGATGGTACCTATGGAGGCCAGAAAGAGTGTGTCATGTCCCCTTGAACTACAAGTATAGGTGTTTGTGAGCCACCATGTGGGTGCTGGGAACTGAACTTGGGTCCACACTAGAATAGCTCATGCCCTTCACTGCTGAGCCATCTCTCAAGCCCTCCTTTTTTTCTTCTTATTCTGTCCATCCAAATAGGGAACATGTCCACGGACTTACAACGGGCAGAGAAAGAACCTCTCCTCTCCCCTAGCACTGATCCAGGTAGAGGAGAAATGATGTCTGTGCACATCCCTGAGTTCAAAGTCCTAACGGTGTAAGTCCTCTCATCCCTGGGTCTTCAGAGACAATGGTGCTCTCTTCCTCCACACATTCCTCTGATTTTATGGCCTAAGGCAGTGGTTCTCAACCTTCCTAATGCCATAACCCTTTAAAACAGTTCCTCATGTTGTGGTGACCCTCGACCATAAAATTATTTTCATTGCTACTTCACAACTGTGATTTTGCCACTTTTATGAATCGGACTGTAAATATCTGATATGCAGGATGTATTTTCATTGCTACAAATTGACCAAAAGGGGTCAAGACCCACAGGTTGAGAACCACTGGCCTAAGAGGACAAGGCCAGCTGGAAGATGAGTCTGGCCTTTGCTTCAATGTCCTCCAATGCCGCAGGGCTGCATTGGAGGATGTATGCCCTGAACACCCCCCACCTCTCTCATGGGGAATGCCGTGACTATGAAAATTGCTCAAGCAAGCAGAAGCAGGAAAATGTGAGAATTTTTCTTATCTTCTGTTTTTTTTTCTAAAAAATAATCCATGTTTCTTTCATAAAGAAACCTACTTCCCCCCTTCATCAAAGAGTTTTATCTCCTCCCTTGTGGCGAGATTTTCATTGGAGCACCAGCTCCCAAATAATGACAGAGACTTCTGGTTCATTATGAAAGCTTGGCCTTAGCTTAGGCTTTCCCCAACTAGCTCTTATGACTTAAATTAACCCGTTTATATTAATCTATGTTCTGCCACGTGGCTCTCTCCTCCATACTGTATTGTCTGACTCCCACACCCTGACCCCACGTCTTGCTGGTGAATTCCACCTCTCTTCTTCCCAGAATTCCTATATCTGCCTAAAAGTCCCACCTAGCCTCTCCTGCCCAGCTACTGGCCATTCAGCTCTTTATTAAACCAACCAGAAGGTGCTTTAGCAGAGACACATCTTCACAGTGTACAAAAAGATCATCCTATGACACTTCCTCCCCACTAGCCAATTAAGGATAAAATCCAAGACTTGAACTTCCCTTAAAGGTTCTCATCAACATTTGAGCACATCTTATTTTATGTGTAAATAGACAACTTCCTCTTACGAATCTGCCTTTTTTTTCAACTTAATTTCTTCCCAATTTCAAACACGAGATGACAAGTCTTTCTTTTTTAATTATTGGCCACATTAACAAAAATTCAGTTCCTTGCATATATTTATATGATTCTATATTTAAATTATACATGTAAACTTATATAAACATACTTAAATGTTCCCCTAATTTTCTATTAAGTGATAGAAATATATGCCTAGACAATCTGCCTACTGTGTAACTTTGTCCAGGAGGGTGGTCAGGAGGTAGCAGGCAGTCCCTGCTGCTGAAGAATTCGAGTATCTGCCCACAGCAGTGCACACAGGGCTCTCCACCAACATAAACCCACGGAAATGAGAGAAGGGGACGGTTCGTACATTTCCAAACAGTTTGTGAATCTCATTCAATATATTCTACATTAGAGCTGTGGGAAGGGCAAGTCCACGTTTGCTTATTCAACATCCCTACTCATTTCCTATGCATGGATGCTTCTCAGCTGGTCTGTAGCAGAGTCACTCAGGAGACTTAATCAAAGTACATACTGGGTTCCACCTTCTTAAACAGGTCTGAAATGGGACCAGATAATCACTTTTCTAACAAGTTTCAGCAGATCTGCAGTGGCTCACAGGTGGCTGGTTGGACATTCCTACATTCGAGGATACACTGTTAAATGTAATTATTCATTTGGAACTCAAAGGAAGAGGAAGGGCTTGGCAGTGAAGTTTTTAGATAGCATACCATGTTTGGAAGTTGGGAGCAGCCTGGGTCATGCTGTAAGCTGTGCAGAAATTCTAAATTCTGTTTTAACTGAAAACGTCATTATAAGAAAGTCTGCAATATTGCCAATCCCTTTCTAAGCCTTGCCATGTTGGCTTCCCTTTTTAATGCTACCTGTTCCCCACCTGCTGCCATTTTTAATTCGCTGCAATAAACATTATTGTTTCAAGGCAACAGGGACCTCACTATAGTAACAATGAAGGTTGTTTACTCCGTGACAAATCTTTGTTTGCTCAGAAAACTGCTCTTACTTTGCAAGAATTCAGCAATCAAGCACCTAAGACAACGTCCTCCCCGGGGACCCGCTCTTCTTTCCTGCTTCAGTGTGGAGATGACAGCTGTCTTCAATATGTTCAAATGCAAAATTAGTTGCTTTGTCCTTTTTGTTATTAGCTGTGTTTTGAACTGAATGAGAGCGATTTCTATGCTCATCTGTAACTATATTAGGACAATTGCTCCAAAACCTAAATACAGTATTATTGCAAACAATCTCTCACATTTTATTCAAAAGCAGAATAGCATGCTCCCCAGTCTGGCTGTTATGAACACATTGTGATGTTAGTAAGATACCTGCTTTAGTGGTTTTTAAAAAAACAAATCTGTAATACACCTGTGTAATTGTCTCAACTCTTTTCTAATTGGCTTGGCTTTGGAAAAGTGGCCTGGGGACACCCTTCTCCACCTACGCATTGAGAGGATAGCTATAAATGAGACCCAAAACAAAATCATCAACTTACAGGAAATATGAAATTTTTTTGGAATTTTTTTGAGACTTAATTATACAAGTCTTAAGCTTAAACTTTGTAGTTGGCATCATGTGGCAGTGTTGCTCAAATGCACATAGAACCTCTACTTCATGGTGGAATGTGGCTTCTAACATGTTATCTTCCCAGGCAGACAGTGGAATCTGCATCATCAGATGTTACAGACACTCGCAGTGGCTTAGTAAATGAATAGGAGCGATAATGCTTTAGCTCATCATTGCAAAAGATCACATTTACTGCTACTCAGGAGGCAGGTAAGCATTCTTATTTAATTATGAAGGGTACTTCCACACCTGGGCAGCACCTCACGCATGGTCCACCATGCTTTCATGCTTTACAATCAGCCCGCTATTTCCAAGGCTTCCACATTTGGGATGTGGAAGGGCTTAAACCCGGCTTTCTATTTTCTCCCAATTAATTTTCACAATAAAGGTATTATCTTTTATCTAATTCCAATCCCAGAATTGTTTTGACAATGTCTCGAGAGAAAACAGAAGCCATGACAAAGGAAGATTCTGGATGAAGGAAGCTTGTTCAAGGGAAATAGATTGTTCTATAGACAGATTGAGGCAAATGGTAAGTCACCTGCTTAATTTTTAGAGAATTGTGCACATTTTCAAAGACGATGATTTGGAAAGGCATCATATGAAAAAGCATGCCGTCAAATCTGGTGTCTATCAAGGATTATGATAAAGACAAAATAGCAAAACTGCAAAAAAAAAAAATCTCCTCTACAACTTTCTTTTAAAGTTACAACTTAGATTCGAGTGAAAAACTAGTTAGGTAATAGACTATCTAATAACAAAAAGTCAAAAACGTGTAGTGATAGTGAGTTTGTTAAATAATATATAACTAGTGTGGCAGATATAATGATAAATTGGAAAATGAAGGAAGCTATTTCTAAAATCAGTTTGTCTCACCAGACAACGGTCATGTGAATTGAGAAAAATTGAGGAAATGCTGTTGAAAGAAGTTTGGAGGGGAGAACCCATAATCCTAATTTATGCTCTGGTGATGGATGGCAACATTGACACTAAAGATGAACTTCAACCTGCATTTCTATTAAAGGCATTGATGACGAATGTAACACAACTCAAGAAATAATTTCATTAGTATGAGTAAAAGACTCAACTAAAAAATTTATACAAAGCAGTAAAAATATGTTAAAGTGATTTTTGTCTTGTCAAGATATCTAGTATAGTTGCCAATGAGAAAATGAATGAGGAAAACTCATAAAATTAATAGAAGATGATGTAATTGCCCGAAACTCATACTTAATGAAGAATCATAGCATCGCACAGCAATGTATGCCCAAAGCATTAAAAGTGCATATTACGACTTTCTTGAGGTCAAGAGGTTAATCATGGTCAGTTCCAGGAGTTCCTTGCACTGATGCTGCCTTTGGTGACATCATTTACTTTTGAGAAGACAGCAAAGTCGGGTCCAAATAGGGAGAAGATTCCACGCCTTGTGAAGTGTTACCAAGCGGTTTACGTCATCAAATATAAAACCTGCCCCAGAACTTGGTGAAGGAAACTGGCTAACAGATTTGGCACTTTTCGTGGACTTAACCACTCATGGAAGTTAAACACGAGTCTTCGAGGTGAAAAAGCAACTTACCAATGCAATGTTTCAAATCGTAAGAGGATTCCAAATGAAACTGAAATTGTGGCAAGCTTGGATTACGTCAGGCTGTTTTATACATTTCAACGGGTTGGCTAAAGACAGCCCTATGAACAGTGAAAAATATATACAACCTTTTTTTCAAATTGATACAAAATATTGAAATGTATTTCAAGATTGCTGAGAAAATAATATTTTGGTATAATTGTGACTCCATTTTCTGTTGACATAAACATATTACTGCCCAGTTTTCAAGTAGAACGCTTATAGATGAGAGCTGACATTGAGCTTGAAGAAACATTTGGTCACATCTCTGTGCTAAGCTTCCACAGACCCTATCTTCCCAGAGATAAAAGCCTTCTTAACCATGGCATCTCTTTGGGTAGCACTTACATTGGTGAGAAACTGTTTTCAAGAATGAAGCAGGCTGGAGATGGCTCAGTGGTAAAGAGCACTGGCTGCTCTTCCAAAGGACCAGGGTTCAATTCCCAGCACCTGCATGACAGATCACAACTGTAACTCCATTTCCAGGGGATACGATACCCTCATCCCTGACACACATGCAGGATGAACACCAATGCTCATCCAAAAAAAAAAAAAAATGAAGCAACTTAGGAGTAAAATAGAAGCAAAAGATCTGATGAGCGCCTTGAGGAGCTCCCGAGAACTGCAGCTACTTCCATCACACATACAGTGGCGCTTTAGTTTCTCAAATACAAAGTCAAATGACCCAGGAGCGGTTTTTTTACTTAATTAAAATAATTACATCATTATCCCCTCCTCCCTTCTGTTCTTCCCATGTCCTGCCGCATCAGACCCTCCCAAATTCACTGCCTTCTCCTTTTGTTAAACTATTTTTTGTTACATATACACATAAACAAATAAAAATATAAATACAGCCTGCTGATCTGTTCTGTAGTGGCCAATGTATGTGTCCAGGGCTGACCATTGTACTACATGACCAGTTGGGTGCCCACGAGCTTAATTTTGCCCTCTCTCATTTTCATATATTTTTTTTTAAAAAAAAATCCAAAGAAAGCATTACTTTTCTATTATCTAGATATGCCATTTTTTTGATATTATTGATTTAAAACTTGGCTCTTCATGCCAAGGAGGATCTGGTCAACACAAACCAAACTCCATGTTTTTGCTTTGTTTTGTGGTAGGCTTTCTGTTTCATTTGTCAATTTTTTTTGTTTTACTGGTTTTTGTTCGTTTGTTTGTTTGTTTGTTTTAATTTTCATCTTGTGGAGTTTTTTTCCCCCTTTGGAAAGAGAGAAAGAGAAAGGACATAAAGTTGGGTGGGTGGGCAGGTGGGTGAGTGGTAACTGGGAGAGTGGGGGAGGAGAAAACACGATCAAAATACATTGGATAAAAAAATCTTCTAAAGAGCAAAAGGAAGAAAGAAACTAAGAAAGAAAGAAATCTTGGGGCCTGCTTGACTGTTTTTAAAGACTCGGTGTGGCACTACACAACTAAGATTATGATGTGAAGATATTCTGTAGTGTCAGGTACAACCAATATCATATAAGGAATTATTTCCTTCAAATTTCATCAGTGTTTGTATATTCAACATGGGACCCAAGACAATTCATTCTGTTAAACTCTGAAAGATTTATTCATGTTTATTTCGTGTGTATGAATGTTTTGCCATTATGAGTCATTTTATTGCTTTAATCCTTCAGCATGACATTATTAGATTTTTCCCTAGAACCATGACCTATCTAGTCTTAGGTTCTGAGCCACTTTATTGGTGTCAGGTATGGGCTTCATCTCATGGAGCCTTCATCCAATCAGAAAATGATGAATTGTTCCCATAACATTGGTATCACAATTGCCCGATGACAGGTCACTGTTTTCGGTCACACGTTTGTAGCTAGGAGGTGCTGATGATCACCTTTCTCCTCCTGTAGTGTGCTGAGTAACTTTCAGCACCATGAGCTCTAGTTTTTAAGGGTGAAGCTTTCACTTAGGCACCGGCTCAACAGCTCCAGGTTCGAGGACATATGTGAGTATTGTCTTCAGCAGTATGGTTTTACCAGCAGGTTGTGGAGAACCATCAATGATCTTGGTAATAGCCCGAGACATTTGGGGGTATCAAGGGCCCCTTTAAACAAAAACACAACAAGATCTAACCCGTTCCTGGCGCTGGGGATTTTACTTGGTGGTATAAAATGTTTAATTAGTGTACTGTCGGCCCTATTATTTCATTGACATTGCTTTCGTGTGTGTCTATATTTTAAGAAGCTCCTATAATGGTAGGTTTCCATACGGTTTTTCAAATGGCCTCTAGTATTAGTTGTCCCTCTCTATATTCCCTCCTTTACCCTTCTCTTCCATCCATTCCCTTCCGCACTTGACCCTTCTAGTTTCCTCTTTGTCTCTCCATGGCGAAATATTCTGTTTCTCCTTCACGCCGCGTCCCCTCAAGTGACTGTCAAAACTAGAGTGTTCACGCTGGCACCGTACTTCACGTCTCTAAGCTCCGAAGGATGCTGTGGCTGTTTCCTTCTCTTTCAGGACCTTGACATTTGAAGCGACCTAGCTAGGTATTTTGTAAAACATGCTCAGCTTGTGTCTGGCCCAGGTTTTTCTCATGAGTAGCCTGGGCTAAGGAGACGAGGGATACTGCAGGGATACTGTGCCTTTTGCAGCTCATCCTGCAAGTGCACAGGATGTTAGTGCATTTTCAATTGAGGGCATTAACCTACATCATTTATTTACAGTGATGTCTGCCAGGTTTTCACAATGCACGTTGTTTTTCATTTTGTCATTAGTAAATATTTTAAGAGAACTCCTGATATTTTAAGGCGGAAAAAAGCTATCAGGGCTTGTCTTTCTTTCCTTATAAACAACAATTCTTAATGATAACATGAAGTCATGTAATCAACAGAGTTATTATAGTATCACAGAGCAATGAGATTACATGAAAAGCATCCAAACATAGTCTCTCCCAAACGAATAGTCTTCAAACACAAGAGGCAGATGCTGTCTTAGTTGAAGTGGCTGTGAAGAGACACCATGTCCATGGTAACTCTTATATAGGAAAACATTTAATTGTGGTCGCTCACTTACGGTTCAGAGGTTTGCTCCATTATCGTCATGGCTGGGAGCAAGACAGCATGCAGGCAGACACGGTGCTAGACAAGAGCTGAGAGTTCTTCTTACATCTTAACTCACAGGAAACAGGAAGTGGTCTGAGACACTGAGCAGTACCTTGAGCATATATGGGACCTTAAAGCCCACCCCCACAGTGACACACTTCCTCCAACAAGACCACACCTACTCCAACAAAGCCACACCTCCCAATAGTGCCACTCCCTTTGGGGCCATTTTCTTTCAAACCACCACAGACGCCTAGAGAGTATGTACGATGTGTAACAAACACATCGAGGGTCTCTCACTTCTTGATCCCTGTATAATTGGAATTTGGTTGCTCAGATCCTCCCAGGAGTAATGTATTAGTAAGTGAGAAAGGCATTTATTTTTAGAGGCACCTATAACAGTAATAACCCCCACTTAAATTACAAAGGCAAAACTCGCTTCCATCTCTTGCTAGAAATCCATTCCAAGGCAAGAGAGTGGGGAAGTTCTGTTTGTTTGCAGGGCAAAGTTCTAGGGAAGAATGCTGGACCACGATAACGATGACACTGTGCTGTGACAGGCAAAAACAATTAGGTTACACAGGGAACAGAATAACCTCTTAAAGGGTTAATTCACTAATCTTGCTCACGTTTCTGATTTTAATTGTGCTAAGTGTCCTATTTCAGGAAAAGATTGGCAGCTGATGGAAAATATGAAAAGTGGTTTTACCCCTGATGATGAAGGAATCTTCTACTTTTTCATGATGGTTCTGGACCACTGGATTTTATTTATTTATAATATACCACAGCCAGGTGCTACTTTGCAATTGAAAATAAATCACACAGGAAATTCTTATTAAAATCCAATTTCATGTGCATACTAAAGCTGCACTGTAAAGTGAAATGAGGAGAAACCCCGTATTAAGCTCAGCTCAATGAAACATGGTTATTGAAACCATGTTTCAATATTGTCCTTTAGACTATATTAAAAGGTAACTGTACTACAAGAAACGCTTGAAAGGAGGGGTCTAAGTTCATCTTAGACCCAGAGGGTTTCAGAGCCTGTATTAAGTATGGATGTTTAGACAAAACACTCACAGTGAGAGAGTCACCATTCAGAAGTTCACATGCAAAATTTAAGAAGGAATTGAATTGGCATCATTTAAAATTCTGACCCATTAAATTTGTTTTGTTTTGGGTTCGATTTTATTTTATGTGGATGGGTGTTTTGGTCATATGTATGTTGGTGTACCATGTTGGTGCATTGCCTGAGGAGGCCAGAAAGAGAGATTTGGATCCCCTGAAACTGGAGTTACAGACCATTGTAAGCCATGATATGGGTGTTAGGAATTGAAGCACCATCCTTTGGAAGAGCAGTCAGTGCTCTTAATGGCTGAGTCATTGATCAAGTTTCCCAACCCACATTTTAAAATTAGAGGGATGAAGGGGACTGAGATAAAACGAATGTCTATTCAGTAAAAAAAGAAAAACAAGAAAGAAAGAAAAGAAAAAAATATTAAAATAATGGATCGAGAGTAGTGGAGCTTCACTAAACATTTGAAATATTGCAAAATTATCTAAAGTGAAATGGTCAAAGGGAGGAAATACCTTTAAAAATAATTCTAGATACTGAAAAAAGGAACCATTGGGGCTTAGCTAGGCTTAAGAAGCAGGTTTCCGGGCTGGAGAGATGGCTCAGAGGTTAAGAGCACTGACTGCTCTTCCAGAGGTCCTGAGTTCAATTCCCAGCAACCACATGGTGGCTCACAATCATCTGTAATGAGATCTGGTGCCCTCTTCTGACCTGTAGTCATACATGCTGTATACAAAATAAACAAATAAATCTTTAAAAAAAAAGAAGAAGAAGAAGAAGAAGAAGAAGAAGAAGAAGAAGAAGAAGAAGAAGAAGAAGGGTTCCTTCTGGCAATGGTCGAGAGGGTGCCTGAGCTGACCTACTCTGGTGATAGGATGGCCAAACACCCTAACTGTCATGATAGAACCCTCATCCAATAACTGATGGAAGCAGATGCAGATATCCATGGCCAAGTCCCAGGTGGAGCTCCAGGAGCCCAATCAGTGAGAGAGAGGAGGGATCATATGAGCAAGAGATATCGAGACCATGATTGAAAAAAGTAGAGAGACAACTAGCCAAACTAGTGAGAATGCATGAACTGTGGACCAATAGCTGAGGAGCCCCCATGGAACTGGACTAGGCCCTCTGGATAAGTGAGACATCTGATGAACTTAAACAGTTTAGGAGGCCCCCAGGCAGTAGAACCGGGACCTGTCCTTATTGCATGAGCTGGCTTTTTGGAACCTAGGGCCTATGCTGAGACACTTTGCTCAGCCTTGGTGTAGGGAGGAGGGGACTGGACCTGCCTCAACTAAATGTACCAGGCTGGGCTGACTCCCCAGGGGAGACCTTGCCTTGGAGGAGTGGGAATGGGGGGGTGGGTTTGGGGGGGAGCTGGGGGTGGGAGGAAGGGAGGACAGGGGAATCTGTGGTTGATATGTAAAACGAATAGAAAATCTCTTAGTAAAAAGAAAGAAAAAAAAGAAGCAAGGTTCCTCCTTGGGGAGTGCTGGGCTCCTCTTCCAGCACTTGGGCCACCCCTCTCCAGCATTTGGGCTATCCCTCCTCTCCAGCATTTGGACCATCCCCTCTCCAGCACCTAGGTTACCCTCTACTCCAGCACCTGGGCCACCTCCCCCCCACTTCAGCATTTGGGCCACCCCCCTCTCACACCACCTTGGTCACCCCTCCTTCCACCACCTGGGCCATCCCCCCTCCACCACCTGGGTCCCCCCTCCACCACCTAGGCCACCCCCCTCTCCACCACCTGGGCCACCCCCCTCTCCACCATCTGGGTCACCCTCCCTCTCCACCACCTGGGCCACCCCCTCCACCACCTGGGCCATCCCCCCTCCACCACCTGGGTCCCCCCTCCACCACCTAGGCCACCCCCCTCTCCACCACCTGGGTTAATCCCTCTCCACCACCTGGGTCCCCCCCTCCACCACCTGGGCCATCCCCCCTCCACCACCTGGGTCCCCCCTCCACCACCTAGGCCACCCTCCTCTCCACCACCTGGGTCACCCCCTCTCCACCACCTGGGCCATCCCCCCTCCACCACCTGGGTCCCCCCCTCCACCACCTAGGCCACCCCCCTCTCCACCACCTGGGCCACCCCCCTCTCCACCATCTGGGTCACCCTCCCTCTCCACCACCTAGGCTACCCCCCTTTCCATCACCTGGGCCACCCCCCCTCTCCACCACCTGGGCCACCCCCCTCTCCACCACCTGGGCCACCCCCTCTCCACCACCTGGGTCACTCCCTCTCCACCACCTGGGCCACCCCCCCTCCATCACTTGGGTCACCCCCCTCTCCAACACCTGGGCCACCCCCTCTCCAACACCTGGACCCCCCTCCCTGCCTCCACCACCTGGGCCACACCCCTCTCTCCACTCACTAATGATAAGGGCCTGGATTCCCTGCAATTCCAATGGAGCTGTTCAGAGCATAGCTACACAGGTTGTACAGAGTCTTAAATGGAAGGTAAACATCGGAACATGACGTAAACAGTTTAGCATGAACAGGATACAGGTCCTATTTCAAAAATTAAAAAAAAAATTAGCAGAACCAGTATTTAACAAACGTTACCCTTGAAGAAGCACATTTATTATTCTAAAGACATTTAAATTAACGTAAGATCGCCAAAATATATTTTATTATAAGCATCTGTTCGTTTTTAAGTTTAGCACTTAATTCAGTGGCTGTGTTCTGTTTTTCTTTACTTTTCCACGTGCCCTTAATTCTGTGCAGTTAAAATACTGCAATAGTGAAGATACACCGGTCGCTGTATTGGAGGAAAAAGCTTGTGTGAATAAATTTGTTAAGCCATTCGTGTTAGTTTAAATAGTGCATGTTCTTGACTTCTTGGGGGGATCTTTTGCTGTCTGTAGTAATAAAATTCTAGATTCAAAACAAGGTTTGTGTCACGGACAGGGACGCGTGGAAAGGCAATCAAAGAAAAAAAGACAGTGATTCTTTAGCTGCCTAGGGGGAAACTTCCAACGATGCTTGTGTACTCATCGTGTAGATAAGACTCCCAACACCAGGAGAGATCTGCAGCTCCTTTCGGTCGCGGGACTGGGAGGTCTCCCACTTCGACTGCACCTGTCTCCGCGAAGTTTCTTTTCCGGAGGTCAAAGGCAGTGTTCCTCCTAGCGCCTACCCCTCCTCTGGCGTCTCCCCGCTGCCTGGGGCCATGTGACAGCCCCTAACACCTGTACAGCCACCAGCGCACAGCGCCCCCATCCTCCTCGCCAGGTACCGACCAGGCCAGGCTCCGTCTGCCTCGGGAGGTCACGGTCCGGGAGCTAGCCGGGCTCGGCCGACAGGGGAGGGGCTGAGCCTGGGCCAGAGCCGCAGCCCGAGCCCGTGCAGCCTGATTATCACATGACTCGACGACGGCGGTAGCGGTGGCAGCAGGAGCGGCTGGTCCGCGCGGGCTCGCCGGGTGGGCTCAGTTCCGCGCACGCAGGAGGAGCGGGGCGCAAAGGGGGCGGGGAAGGGACCCGCCGCCGCCGCCCGCCAGCCGCTCCCGGGGGCTCTCGCTTGTCCCTCCCTAGCCGCCCGCCCGCTCCATGTCGCTCGGTTGCGGAAGTGTCGCCGGGAGAGGTGGTGGCGGCAGCGAGGAGCACGGGAAGCCGCGGCTCGGCCCCCTGCAGCACTGAGCTCCGGGAGCCGCGCGCTCCAAGCGGCCCCGCTACCCCGCGCGCCCCGCGCCCTCCGCAGCCTGCATGCCCCGCGCTGCGCCCCGGCCGGCCGCCGCCGCCGCCGCCTCCTGCTCGCCCAGCGGCTGCCCGGCGCCGGAGTAATATGCTCACTCGGGTGAAATCTGCCGTGGCCAATTTCATGGGCGGCATCATGGCTGGCAGCTCCGGCTCCGAGCACGGTGGTACTGGCTACGGAGGCTCGGACCTGCCCCTGCGCTTCCCCTACGGCCGGCCGGAGTTCCTCGGGCTGTCTCAGGATGAGGTGGAGTGCAGCGCGGACCACATCGCCCGGCCCATCCTCATCCTCAAGGAGACCCGGAGGCTGCCCTGGGCCACCGGCTACGCCGAGTGAGTGCACCCGCGCCCCGCTTTCCTCGCGGCCCTTCCCCGCACCGTTCCAGCCCCCTTCCTCTCTCCCAGCTTCTGAGCTCTAGGGCTCTCCACCGGCTCTGGCCTCCAGGCCTCGGCGAGAACCTCTTTACTTCCACTGACTAGCTCCCTTCCCCCTCTCCCCCCAAACCCCTGGGTATGGGCTCTCGGGCCGGGCGGTGGGTGGCAGAGTGGATGGTTAGCGACACAGGACCGTGGGAACGCTGAGGTTGGACTGGTCTTATAATAAGGGGTCTGTGACACTTTGGAGGGGGGAAAGTGGGCAACACAGCTCTGCTGAAGTTGCAACGTAGTAGGAAGACCTGGTATCTGTGTCCCCTCTTTTTTTTTTAAAAAAAGAAAGAAAAATCTTTGTACCCCCCCCCCCCCCCGCACGAAGAGTTTGGTGAGGTCGAGGCTCGCAGGATGTGTTCCCCGAGGCGGGCGGTCGGCTTGGTGCGCGTGACTGTAGGTTCGGAAAAGGTCCTTTTTCTCCGAGCTCCTTGGGCTTCGGAGCAGGTAGTGAACGGCGGCTCGACCCAGTAAATGCTGCTACCATTCCCCCACAGTCCTGGAGGGGGAGGGGGAGGTAGAAACTTACTCCAGGCGTCTAATACAGCATTTTACTAATCAGCTTTGGCGATTAAGCGAGAGCCCCGGAGTGATTTGCTATTTTAAAACGACTGAGTTAGACTCAAGGCCGGGCGTGGAACAGAGAGGAGAGGTTTCATTGCCCTTCCCTACTCTACGGCCACTTCTCCATAGACTATTAATAACCATGTGAACGGTGGGATAAGTAATGTTTTCCCCGACCTGTTATTTACTATTTAGCGTTGTGGAACTGGCAGACTAGGAAGGGAGCGGGGATTTAGCCCAGAATCCTGAGGCTAAAAGCACTCCGAGCCCTGGTGTTCGGCATACCTGTGTCCTCTTTCCTCTACACCCCCTCTGTAATCTTGGACATCCCCAAACCGATGCACGACTTCTCTTTCTGATTGGTCCATCCGGGAACCAATCAATTTCCCCTATGCCTGGGCACCTCGGTGCTGACCCGGTTCTGGTGGCCCAGATCCCCCCCCCCCCCCCCCCCCCCCAGCAGGCGTAGTTCCCTACGAGCCGAGCCGGGTTCCGGTGCAGGAAGTAGGTGGCTTGCGAGGCAATCTGCTTTGAATCTTGACTTCTTTTTCCTCCCGCGTCATCCCTGTGATCGTGACTCCACGCGCTTGTGTACGAATGGGGATGGATGACTGGCGGCGTGTGAAGAGAGGCGCGCGAGGATTGGGTGTGCGGGGTGGGTAGGTGGGTGTATGACATAAAAGGCAGGCAAGCGTGAAGGAGAAGGAGCTGGGAGGAACAAAACAGCCCCCTAACCTCTAAGAGGAAGCCTGTGTGGGGAACCTAAAGGCGGGGAGAAGCGCCTGCTAACTCATGCCAGCAGTTCTTTGCCTGGAAAATAAGTTTAAAAAGCCCATTTGGACCCTTTGCAAGGTCAAAAGCAATCGGAGAGGTACAGTCCCAGAACTGTAACCGTGGAGGCGCTTGTGTGCCTGCCACGCTCCTGAGTGGTGGAGGTTTGAGGCCAGTGATTCCATGGAGCATGGCCACCTGAGGATCTGGGAGATGTACTGGGAAATGGTGAGATGATGAGACCGTGGGGGTGGGTGGGGAATAGGCCTGCTGACAGCGGGAGCTACCAGGACACAACGAAGGGGAAACCTCTTAAAAGTATGAACAAAGGGAACAGAAAGAAATTTTCAGTGAACAGTAGGAACAGGAAGCTGGATCTATTCCCCCAACACACACACACACACACACACACACACACACACACACACACACCCCCTATTCCCCCAACACACACACACACACACACACACACACACACACACACACACACACACACACACACACACACACCCCTACTAAGCCTGTTTCCTCATCTCTGAGGTCTGTCTTATTCTAGGCTAGAACATGAGGGATGTTCAACTCCAAGACTGAAAAAAACACTATAAAAGCTTCAACGTGTATAACTACCTACAAAGGCACTACTGCATCCATGTTGATTCACACAGAGATCTTCAGGAATGAGACTTCTCCTAACCCTACCTCCATGACCCCAGCAACTCAGTGCTGGGGATGTATGCTTTTCCAAATGTGTTTGGATGTACCTCTGAACACGTCTGTATTCTTAATCCTAGTCGGTGTTATTCTGTGGCATTTTCACAAAACACTTGTCAGGGACGCCATTCCAACTCAATGTGTGTAGAATTCCATTATCCTGGCTGCCCTCACCTTGAAAAAAGTTCTCATTCCATATCCCAGACTACCTAGGTTTCCTAATCTCCCTTCCCTCGGCCTCCTGAGAAACCTCATTCTTCTAAACCGTGTTATAGTACTAATAATGTTAATATAATTAGTGCTGGATATTCCTTAATATTTTCAAGTTCCTATTAAGCCACCTAAGTATCATAACAGTCTTGTCATTTCTACTTTGTAGATGAGAACACAGGTGTGAAATGGTTAAGCAACTTGCCCATGTTAATACAACCTGTATCTGAACCCAGAGGGTCCAACTCCAGGGCCCATGACGCCAAACTCCCTCTCTACAGTTTCAAATTCCGATGCATCCATCTGACCCAGGATATGTCACTAACAATGTCACTAACATTGCTCTCTTCTCCTCATGCCTACTTTTGCCAAGTATAATAATGTAACGAATCATTGCTCAAACCTCTATCATTTTTCTTAATTTGTATAATTATTATAAAATTTATATATAAATATGATAAAAAAATTTTTCTTTCTGACTTTTCACGGATGCATCCTAAGTGACAAAACATGGCTGAAACAAGGCAGGAAGAAGGAACTAAGGTTATTTAAATAACGGAAATGGAAGAATGCTGTTGAACCTAGTCCCTTGATTCTGTCTCTTAAAAAAAAAGTTCTAAGTTACACCTAGTGGCACAGGCCTGTAATCCCCGCCATTTGGGAGGCTGAGGCAGGAGGATTTCAGCTACTCAGAAGGCTAAGGTAAGAGAATCACAAGTTATATAGCCTATCTGAGGTAGTGAGTTCAAGGCCAGACTGGGCAACTTAGTGAGACCATGTCTCATATAATAAAAAGCAGAAGGCTGGAGATGTGTGTACATACAGATACAGTCACATACACGTGCATATACATTTCAGTGGAAGAAAAAAGTGTCTGGTTCCAAGATTTCCAGGAATGAAGGCCATCACCTGGTGAAGGGAGGTTGGAGAAAGGGCTTTCAGCTGTAATGTTGATGACCCACCATTTTGGATGGTAGAAAACCGTCTGTTTTTGTCATTTATTTTTATTTAGAAGAGATAGTCTGCATGTGACTGAATTAGAGAACTAGCCAGAAGCAATCCCTGTGGTCTTGGAGATGCTGATACGGAAGATCCTCTTCCATTCTGGAACTTTGTTAATCGGATTTTCTGCCTCCTTGAAGAGTTTCTTGTTGTGGGGGTAAAATGTAGCCACTAGACCATTGAGCGGTTCTCAACCTGTGGGTCGATATCAGGTATCTTGCATATCAGGTATTTACATTATGATTCCAAACAGTAGCAAAATTACAGTTAGGAAGTAGCAACAAAATAACTTGGTGGTTGGGGGGTCACCACACCATGAGGAACTGTCTCAAAGGATCACAGCCTTAGGAAGGGTGAGAGTCACTGCCCTAGATTAAGGGGGGTTTGCCAGGACATGAAACTCTTAGAAGCACTGTAGTAATAGACAATATCTTTTTTAAAACATGCATTAGCAAGTTCCATTTTGAATCTTGGCTTTGAAATCACTGACTGAGCCTATGAGGTCTACCCATAGAGCACCCAGGGGAAGTCACCGTCTGACCCAGGGACTATGGGGACAGTCACTTCCCTCCACTTCCACAAGTTCAAATACCACAAAGGTAGTCCCAGCGGTGCAGGGGCCTGAGGTCAGCTCATTGTTTTAATGGGTTATAATTTTTTTTTTTAAACTTAAAAAAAAATTTAAAAAAAAATCTGTCTAACTTTTCTACTGTTCAGGCAGACTCAGACATGCAGGCAGTAATGGAGTTCTTTCTTAAGTGCCCAACAGTGAGCCAGTGTTTTTGAGAAACACTATTTTGTATAGTAAGTGTCATTTAAGTTTTACTGATGATACATTTTTTCAATAATAATAATAATTGTATAATTTTGCATATAAGCAACTGAATGTCTTTCCTTTATGACATATTTTCTAATAAAAGTGCCACTAGATATGGGTAAAAAAAAAAATCTTAAACATCACTTTGAGAACCTTCATTAAATGTGCCTTAGGGAAGTTCTTTGAGTCTCATGGAGTTAGTTCTAAATTGTGAACTTCTGGACAAAACAACCTTCTTAAAGCCCAGAGACCAGCTCACAGGAGTTTGATTTTGATTTAGAATCTATAGGCCACTCCATCCCTCAGTGACGGCCCTAAATACCCGCTGCCAGTCAATAGCATTAGTTGGCTATGCCCTGGTCATGACAAAGAAGCCATCTTTATCTTGACGTCTCCCAGATTTTTTTTTTCCTTTCCTGCTCTGGTCTCCCCTGGCACACTCATCCATCTTTCACACACCTTTTAGTGGAGCGCCTGCTTCAGAACTCCCTGTTTGACCTTTGCCACTAAGGAACCTGAGGCTTTCTTTCCACTTGTGGTTGAGAAACGAGGGGAAGAAGCAGGTGGGTGAGGGTGGCCATTGACCCGCCCTGTCCATAGCATTTACCTGCGGGTGAGCCAGAAGTCTGAGGCACTGAAGATACTTCATCTGCCTCAGTGGTAACTTTCAGGCGGCTTTAACTTTCCAGATCTGAGTTTCCATTTGTTAACTTCATTCCAAGGTGGTGTGCCTGTGGGGGCCATTTTTGTAGTCAAATGCATCACCTTCCTTCCAAGACTCCTCGCGCTTTCTGGAACTGGATTTAGCCATTCTGACAGGTGTATTTACCTG